TGACAACAAATGTTGCTAGGAATAGCAATGTTGCTAAACACTTCGGAAACAAATTAATAGTGTCTTTTTTCGGATCAATGCAACATTTATTTTACTTTCTTATTTTCAACATGATTCTTATCTGTAGTATTCCTTTTATGTTAAAACTCATTTTTGTTAAAATTTTCTTGAAAACCTAATAATGTTTCGTTATCCTTTGATCTAATCTGATATCTAAACTGGTGTATTTGCTGGTACTCTAGCGAATATTTTTTCATTAAAATAATTAAAGGCTTAAAATTCCTGTCGCTTAAAAAAAAGTAATTTCTAAAAACTAATACATTTAAGCCTCTAGAGCGTATGATTATTACTAATTTGAAATTACCACCACAGCGTATGATTACTTTAATTATAATTAGGCAAATGGATTTTTATAAAATTTTTAAACAAACCATTTGAAATCAACTAAGAATATTATATTCGACTATGACGTATTAATTAAGAGAACCTTTTATGTGGACTTGGGTGTACCTTTGGTCTGAGCTGTTATGTATTCGAGGAAATGAAAATGTATTTTTATTTATAAACAATTGAATGATTTTCTATAAGAGGCTTTTTATGGACCGATCCTTATGAAATTTGGTAGAGATCTTAGTTCATAAAACAAGAAGTTATAGTCGGGCGAGGCCGACCATATAATACCCTACACCAGTTATAAAAATAAAATGTGATTTAGTGTTCATAATAAAGCAGTAAAGTTGAATTGTACCTTGTCTCAGATATACTTTAGCCATTTTTCTTAAATAAAATTGTGTACATTTAAACCACATTTCGAAGGGGGCTTTGTATAGGGGCTAGGATCAAATAAGGCCCTATGATCAAAAAATTTATCAGGGTCATGAAGGCCAGTATAGAACTTTGTTTTGCAGCTTTTTGTCAAGATACGAGTATATTGAACGAAGGGTTCAGTTGTATGGGGGCTAGGTCAAATATTGGACCGATGTTACCTATTTTCAATAAGATTCGTATCTAGTACAATAGAAGATTATGTGCGACCTGTACTTTTATTACAAGGTTTACAAGCCCTTTTCGGCGGTTCAGTTGTATAGGGGCTAGGTGAAATAATGTTCCGATCATAACCATTTTCAATAGGCTTTGTCACTGAGACAATAGAAGATCATGTACCAAATTTTATTCCAAATCTTCAAAAATGCGACCTGTAGTTTGATTACAAGGTTTACATGGACGGACGGACACAGCTAAATCTTCTCAGAAAATGATTCTAAGCCGGCTGGTATACTTTAAGGGTATATGGTCATAAGAGTATATGACCAATATTATTGTGCGTTACAAACATCAGCATAATCCTAATATACCCTCCCCACTAAAGTGGTGTAGGGTATAAAAACATGTTATAAAGTTAAGAACGTCAAAGTCATTTTCTAAAGTACACCGACTTTGTCCAGTTTTAGTAAAATTTCAGACTTCTAGCTTCTGCTTATCGTTTTTAAACAGACGGTCATAGCTAGACATGGCTTAAATGACAGACTGTTAATGCCCAAATTATTTATATTCCAATTTTAGCCACTAATTTCATAACACTATTAAAAGTCAATCATCAAACATGGAATAAACTAAAGAAAAATAACCTCTTAATAAGCTAATCATCAGCATTTCAATATTTTCCTTTACTACCATCAACACTAATGAAATCAAAATTTTCGCACCATATGCAAAAATAAAAAGAACAATTTTAATAAAATAACAAAATCATAATTTTTGCTAACCGAAGAAAATTATAATTTACAAATAAAGAAAGAAACTATAAAAATTAAAGAAAAATATACCAAACAATTATAGTTTTTCAAAAGTGACTAATCATACACATACAGAAAGAAATTGAAAATTTAAATAATATAATTTTGTAAAAACAACAAATGATTGAGGATTTTCACAAAACAAAATAACACACACACAAACAAAACTGTATACATATTAGAAATCCAAAAATGAACTTCGCTTTTTGCGTCTTTTAAATTCAATTATTTACATTACAAATTTAGTTTTTTTTTTCTTTTACTAAAACCAAAATAAGGAAAAAAAAATTAAAAGAAAACAAAAAAAATCAAGTGTTTTGAAAATAAACTAAAGCCAGAAATAAATTAAAAAAAAAATATATTGTTTACATTAACATTGCCTATGCCGCCAGCCAGTGTTTTTTGTCTTCTTCTGTATTTTACAAAATTGGTCATAATAGTGGCTAAATTAGACACATGTGTCTAATTTAATGTAAAAGGAATAGTAGTATTTTGGTTATTTTTTAAATAAATACACACACTCAAGAGAAAAAAATCATGTTTTCTGCAGCTTTGTTGCAGAAATTGTGTTGTGCTAAAGCAAGTGGTTATTATGACTCAAAATGAGGAAAACCACACATATACAAGAAAAATATTGAGGTAAATTTAGTTACAAAAAGAAAATTTAAAAATGAAATGTATTTTTATAATTAATTAAAACCAACCTAAAATTATACGTCATGTTTCTTTTTTCTTTCATTTTTGTTGTTGTTGTATATGTTTGTCGTAAATTCAATATTAATCATGCCGCCGTTTGTTTAAGTGATAAAAACTAACGACATAATTTTATAATAATTTATGTTTTAGTTTATATTTATTTCAAAAATATTCGAAAATTTTGTTTTTCTTTCTTTAAATTGTAATGTGATCAAGGTGGCGTATGTTTTATATTTATTTTGTAATTAAAATAATCATACGTTGTGTTGACCATTTTTAAATTAATAATAGTCATACGCTCTAGGGGATTAAATGCTTTAATTGATTTTTAAATTACTAATGTTAAGACGCAAGAATTGATATTTTTAAAGAAACAGATATTAAAAAAAAAACACAAGACTTGTTGCTGTTTGATTGTTTGGCAACTTTAATGATAGAACCGGATAATTGTAATATAGCAGCTAATAACTGCGATCATTAGCATTGGAAAAGCAAATTTTTTCATTATACCCTACACCACTATAGTGGGGAGAGTATTATGCGTTTGTGCTGATGTTTGTAACCAAAAATATTAGTTCTATACCCACCTTAAAGTATACAAATCGGCTCAGAATCACTTTCTGAGTCGATTTAGCTCTATGTCCATCTATGTGTCCATGTAAACCTTGTGCGCATTCTACAGGTCGCAATTTTCAAGATAATTAGATGAAATTTGGCACAAACTCTTCTTTTGACCCAATGGCTAAAATCGATCCATTATTTCGTATAGCCCCCATACAACCGTACCCCCGTATAGGTCTTTTAAGTTCATAAATATGTTAAATATGTTCTTGTATCACTTCAAAGTCGGCAAAACTTAGTTTTATATAAGTCTTAATGATACTGCTGATTTTAGTAATGATCGGGCTTCATTTGACCCTATCCCCCATACAAAGTCCCCATCAGAAAATTACTTAATGGTCAAAATTCACTTATAAACACTAATATCATGATGATGAATTGCAAAAATAACTAATGGAGACGTAAATCCCTCTACCAAAATTTATAAGGATAGGACCATACTAACGCCCTACCCCCATATAACCCCCCATTTAGAAAATCCTTTTTTTGTCAACAAATTGTTAAAATATTTCTGAATAAAGGTAAAAATTAAATTTTTTATATTACTGGACTGATTTGATATCATGCCACTATGGAAAAAAGGATCTTAAGTGGCATTTAAGTAATAATGACAATTTTGTACCACGAGAGGCAATTCCACAAAACTGACTAGAACTTCGACATGTGGAAAGAGTCCAATATCTCTTCTAAAAAGAACTAAAGAAAGTGAAACACTTCGTTCAATAATGCAAGAGAAATAATTAAAAAATCTTTAATGGAAGGATTTCCAGAGAATTCAGAGGATACATTTATAAATACCAATATTTTAAATGTTTAAAAAAGAACGTAAATTTTCAAATCTTGTAAAAAAAAATTATAAAAACGTTTGTTTTAAAACATTAGGAATCTATAAATACAATTAACCAAATTTTAAAATATAAAAAAAATGTTTTTTTTTTTCTTTATTTCTGAAAACATTTTAAATCACAATAATTGCAACGCAATTTCTTTCTATATTTGTACACAGCAATAGCGATTTCCACAAATAGCAATTATTAAAAATTAAAAACAAAACATTTAAAATTTATGTATTTTAAATACATTTTGGAATTTCACTCAGTAAATCCTAAAGTGCCGCAAATATCAAGAAAAAACAGTTCATTGAACATTAAAATATTTGCAATTTCACATAGATAGTAGATAGAAAAGAAAAAAACCCTGACAAAAATTAAGACAAAATAAAAGTTTTTAATATGCAAAAAACGTTTAATAAACAGATTTTCAAAAAAGGAATTATTATGATTTGCTATTATTAAATAAATAGAATTGAATCATAACAATTATAAGATTAATATGAAAACATGACAAATATTAAAATAATAAGAAAATAAATATTTAATTTCTTTTTCTTAACCAGAAAAAAAAAACTCCCCCAAAAATACTCATACCCAAAATGCACTTAATTAATTAAGTATGCCAAGCGAGTCTAAGATGTTGTTAAACAAAAATAATAATAAAATTAAATTGAAATTTAATTTCAGCGTAACAATAATTTCAACACCGACAGGTGTCGAACACCAAAAAGTAAAAATAAATAAATAATAAATTTAAACAAAAAAAAAGGTTCAAAAACCTTTTAATTAAATAAGGAATGCATTTATAAATTATTGTAAATTTTAGTAAATTTTTAAAATAAATTTAAATTGTTAGAAGAAATAAACATGCATGCACCTTAATAGTTTCTTTGTTTTAGTAGAAAAAAACTTGCAAGTTGTTGCAGCCACAGCACATACACAAAGAACACAAGTTCGAATCTAACGAATACAACAGAGTGGCAGAAAAAAAGCATTTGACACAACAAGATGAAACGCGCTTTTTTTTGTATTTGAAAAAATTTCAAGAATCTACCTCGACATAGTGAAGTCCTAGGGCGGATTTAGACATTTGATTGTTGGTTTTTGTATGATTCAAAATCATAGAATTACTTTGCTGTAAAGGATGTTGTGTTTGCTGTGGTTGTTGTTGCTGGTGTTGTGACACATGTTGCTGATACATTAAAGGTTGATGAAATACTTGCGTGGTATTGTTTATTTGTTGCTGAGCTTGTTGAGACTGATAGAAATTTAAGGCCGATGCTGAAGCCGATTGCATCAATGGATTATGTTGTTTATTTTGTTGGGGTTGATGTTGTAAAATGGGCACAAATTGTTGTTGATAACGATTAAACCCTACACCACCAGCAGCAGCCGCTGCAACATTTGTTTGAGTATTCTGTTGATTAGGTTTGTGTTGATAAAACTTTTGTTCCATAGTTTTATTGCTGTAGAAAGGATCAAAGGTTTGTAAAATTTTACGTTCTTGTTGTGGCTGCCTGACATGATGTTGAGGCATCATGTTGCCAAAGTTATTTATCATATATTGAGGTTTAGATTGTTGCTCCATAACGGGCGGTTGACCCAAATGCATTTGCAAGGCAATGGGTTTTTGCACCGCTGAAAATGAAGCCGAATGGCTTAAAGGATTTTTCGTACGCGGCTGATAAACAAAAGCTGAAGGTTGTTGTTGTTGTTGTTGCTGACTCACCAAACACTGTTGCTGATTATTATATAATTGCTGCTGCTGTTGTTGTTGTTGCACTTGAAATTTGTTCTCTTTATTGGGATTCTTTTGCAAAAAGTCCGGTTTAAATGTTGACAACGTGGCCTGCGGCTGTACAGGTTGAAAATGTTGCATTTTCCTTGCTACATTGTTGACAGAACCAGATTGCTGTAGTCTTCCTGTTTGCTGATAGTTAGGATCATTAGTATTGCAAGCAAAAGAAGTCCAATTCAAAAATGTTTTCTTTTGTTGCGGATAGCTGGGCTGTACATTAGTCATATTATTGGTTTCAGCAACATGTTGCTGAGGTATAGTTTGCAAGAGCTGAGGCCTTTGATAACTCGCCATGGGTATTTGAGATGTTGAGTTCGATTTGCCAATAGGATAGTTTTTCTTCGTAGGTAATTGAGTCAAATTCGTAGTGGCCACTGGGATTTGTGATAAATTCTTAGTTATGTTGCCGGATGTAGTAGTCGATGTTAATGGTTGAGAGGTTAAATTTTCACTAACCTTGTGGTTTGTTGGTGCAGTGCTTTGAAGATTCGACAAAGACGAGGTGACGTTGTCATTATTTATTGGCTCTTGTTTAACATTCACTTTTTCGGCATTTAAATTATGCGCTATTGTTGGTGTTGATATTGCGGTAGAAACGCTGCTTGTGGCATTTGTCGTTGTTGTTGTTAACGCTGACGTCGTAGCTGACGACGTTGTTACGTTCTGTTGAGATTTTTTCATTATATCATTGAAACATTTCTCTATTTTATTGTCAGCGTCTTTTTGACGCTTTGACAATTCTAAATTGGCAGCACTTTGTGTTTTTGAGATCTTGTATTGACCCACTCTTGGTAAACTTTCTCCCTGGCCAGAACCATTTCCAATACAACTTATACCTTGAGCACTATGGACATTTGTAGCTTGGGTTTTTTCTTGAGTGGCTGGTATATGAAAAGATGAGGTCAATTTGGTTAATTGTGGCAAGTGGGTAGTGCAACAGTTTGTAACTGTAACACTACTTGTACTTATAGTACTATTACTTTTTTCCGATTTACGTTCCAGGGAGGGAGAGTCAATATTAGTTTTGGCCACATTGTTGTTAGCAATATTTTTGCTTAAAGACTCTTTAAAATTTTGTTTGTTTTGTTGTTTCTCTACTTGCTGCTGTTGTTGTTGTTGCTGCTGCTGCCTTAACATCATGATTTCATCATTTAAAGCAGTAGTACCCTTCAATTCATTGGCATTTGATGTTGCTGCAACATTTGCCACCAAAGAAGTTGTCATTTGTACTGGTTGCTTTATAGATTGTGATGAATCACTAGACGTCTGTTGCTGCTGTTTGGTAGCATAAAATGGACTATATTTAGGAGCTCCATAAACATTTGAACTTGATAGACTTTTTAATAGACCTCTAAGAGGATTGACTGCAGATGTCTCATTCGTTTTCGGTGACGACGACGACGAAGTCGCTGTGTCATAACATGACGCAGACATTGTCAATGAGTTGTTTACTAGAGGCTGATTAATTGGTTTGAATGAAGATCTATTAATAACATGATTGCCTTCATTTGAAGGTTTGGGATCAGGTGGCAAGAGAATAGCACTATTTGAGGTACTACGACTGAGAGAAGGCAAATGTTTCATATAACAAGGTATATGCGTTTTACTAGTCGATCTACGCAGATTGCTGTTAAAGGGTACATGTGTAGAGGAGTTGTTATTAAAGGGAGTTTGACCTACAGCCTGAGGCACATGTGTCATTGAGACACTTTTATTTAAAGCTGTTACTGGGGCAGCAGCTATTTTTAGAGGTACTTTACTAACAAAGTTTGTAGAATTTGTGTTTGTTTCTACCGCTTTTGGTGAGGAGGGTTCATTACATATTAATTTATAGAGATCTTCTTTGGTTACTGCCTGGCGTACTTTCATGTCCAGATGAGAAAGCGAAGCATTTTTCTGCAATTTGTTGGGTTGCTTGTGTAGTTCCTTTTGAGCCGCTTCTGCTACTGTGGGGTCGAATATGGCTAATTTTTTGGCAGTTTGAGCATCCACCTTTAAGGGAGCTCCTGCAGCGCCCACCGTGGCATTACAAACTTTGTCAAAATTCCATAAAGTGCGTTTGGGAGTTTGTCGTTTTTGGTTTTGGGCTAGATTTTCTGTCCAAAAATCATTTAACATTTGTTTGTTTAAAGACAAATTCGAGCCACTGAGTGAGGAATTCTTTTCCTCCGTTAGCGGCTGATTATCATAATAGAGACTTCTCTGTAAAGCTGGTGAAGCTTGCTGCATAGAAGAGCTGCTGTATGGCATATTAGAACTGGAAATACTCCTTTGTAATTTGGGTTTTTGCTGGAATATGGAGGGATATTGTATGCGTGTTTGATTGGCCACATTGGGAGGTATATGAAAGTTAGTAGAAGAGGACTTGGTAAGGCCATTATTATTTCCTATTGACTCTTGAGTTGGCAACACAGTTTTGTTCGGTACCTCTCCTATGACACTTTGTTGAGAATTAGATTTACTTAGAGGAGCCTGCCTCTTCTTGAGTTTATCATATAAATCTTCACACTCTTGAAATTCCTGATGCAATTTACGATCTAACTCACTGTAGTCGGGTAAACTTTTCAAATATTTATTCATCATTTCAATTTCGGCATCATAAAATGAGGCATCCAGTTTTGAGGAGGCTTGGACTGCAGCTGTTTTCTCCTCCAACTTTTTTTGTTGGGCTAATAATTTATCCAAATCGATTTCATTAATTTGATTGATTGATTTCTCCTGTTGAGATTTTTTGGGAGAGGAAGATATTTGAGGTTTTTGTGTTTTCGAGCCAGAGACTTCGTTTAGTAATTTATGGAGATTGCCGCTTGATGACAGTTTCGGTGCCCTAGAGGGTAAGGGAGGTGGTGGCGGCGATGAAGAGGGTGACGATGTTGAGGATGATAGTGATAAGCTAGAAGCTGGACTAGAGGCAGTAGCTGCTGCCATCATTCTAGGTGGTACCGCCGGTATGGTTATTGGTGTAGATGTATTGCTGCCCGTGGAGTTGGCATTATAAGCCAAGGGATAATGTTTCCTGGGCAAAGGTGGTGTAGATTTTGGACTTACCGGTGGTAGACCTCTATTCTTGCGCAAAGCCAAGGGTGAGGAGATGGGTGATCTTAGGCCCGATTTGGTTTCAGCTTTGCTAGATGTCATAACCGTGGCCATTTGTGGATAGATCATTTGATAGGTTTGCTGAGTATTAGCATCCCTGATATTTTGTTGTTGCTGTGCCGTTGACTTTTGCATGTTTGGCATTGTTACTTGCGGCTGGTTCACAAGATTTTCTATAGTTTCAGCATTGTTTTGCTGCAGTTCACTATTATTGTGGTTGATTTCTGTTTTTGGGGCAGTTTCTACTACTTCTATTTTTTGTAATTTATTATTGTTTTTGTTTTGTTGGTTATTGCTGCTGCTACTGCTGTTGGTGGTGGCTGTGTTGGAGTTTGTTTTGTTATTTGTGGCACTAGTATCATGTTTATTCATTGGCGTTTTAATATGTAAAAATTATATGTTGATTTTTTTTTAATTTGATTTCACTATTTTTTAGTTTGAGGTTTGACCTTTGGGTTTTTATTATTTGTTTTAGGTCTGAGCTGTGGTGTTTTAAATAATTAAGATCTAAAATTTGAGACGCGCGTTTAGTTATGGTTGTAAATCGATTTTTATGAAATTATGTTTATTTTAAAAATAATATGTATATCTCAAGCATTCGAAATCCAGATTTCTTAGAATTTTTTACTTAAAATTCTAACATTCTAACATAAAGTATTGTAAAACTTTTCAAGTTCCCTTTATCTGCAATCTTTTTAACTATAGTGTAAGTTTCTTGAAATTTTTTCTTGCAACATTTAAAGAAACAATAATATTATTATTATTATTGAACGTACAACAAATGATAATACACAATATAATTTTTCTTTTAATTTTTACAACAGAAACAAACGAATACTAATGAGAACAATGACAAATGAAACACTTTCAGTGACACCAATTGACAACCACATTGACATTTGAGACAGGCGACCAAGACCACGAAGAAGACATAGAATACGAACCCCAACTTTCATAAGATGTTCCGGTAATTTGCTATTTTTGGGCACAATATACTTTTTAATTATAATAATTTTATCGCCTTCAATTTTCTGTATGGTGATGGGTACTCCAGGCATGGGACGTTGTGGCTTGCCGGGTGTTTGAGGCACGGGATGTGCTACTGCCTTGGGTGTTTGTTGGGGACCTGTTAGTATGCCTCCTGGATTTGGTTTAGCCGCTATAGTGGCAGATTTTTGAAGTGGTACAGGTTTGGGTTTAGGTTTTGTTGTCGTATGATGTTCAGAGGGTTTGTAGTCTTTGCCATCACTGCGTACAATTGATAGATGATACAAGGGTTTGTCGTCGTCCAGTATACTCTTTTGAGGCACTTGTTTTTTCTCCACCTTGCGCAATACCACACCCAACATGGGTCCTTCATTTTTCTTAACAGTTATATGGGTTCTGGGTGGTGTAACCTTTTTTAAATTTACTCCCAATTTTACACCCACCGGTGGTGGGGTCTTGGTACGATGTACTTGCTTGCCTGCGGGTATCTCTCTATTTATAGTGTCATTGACTATTTCTTGGATTTCTTCTTTAGTGAATTCTTTTTCTACTTGGGGATCAGTGTGTAGCACAGGTTCTGGGGCCACCAATGGTGAGGGACCGGGAAATAGTAAAGACAAACTGCTTCTACGTCTTTCCATATTCGGTGCCGAACTGGTTTTTGCCAAGGGATATAAAGGAGGTGGAGTAGGAGGTAATACCACGGTGGCAGAGGCGGAAACCTCACTTATAGCACTAGAATTGCTGTTATGACGACTGGTATTTTTACTTGGATTTAGAGATAATGACACAGAAGAAACACCACCAGCTGCTGAGCCCAAACTACTAATGCTGGATGAATGTAAACGTTCGGGTGCAGCACTACGATCATGAAACAAACGCCGTTCATCTAGCAAAGAATCCGAACGTCTTTCTCTTGAATTTTCACGATCTCTACGTTGTTTTCGCATTAACTCAATAGAGTCCATTAGTAATAGATTCTTTTCTCCGGTCTCATGTAGAGAATTATTTGAAGAGGCCTGGGAGGAAGTAGCACCGCCTTTGGGAGAAATTGAATCATCTGAGTTTTGCAGCAATAGAGCATTTGCTGACACAGTTAATTGATTATTCGAACGTTTGTTTTCAGTCGTATTCGTTGTCTGAAGCGAGAGAAAATGTTCCTCCATACCCTCGTCTAATACAGAGGGTAAAGATGTTATGCGATCTCTAGGAGCCGGTGAAGAGGGTAATAATTTTACCTTTGCATCTAAATGGGCCTCACCAGGACTGGGTGAACGTGAGACCTGATAAGATTGATTGGCACTATTAGTATTGCTATCAGCATAATCCATAACGATTTCTGGAGTTTTGGGCATTTGCGACATATTTGTTGCAGCAGTTATTAATGGTGTTGTTGGTGCAGATACTGTTGAATTGGCAGGTGTTTCATGATTGAAATTAAATTTGCTGCCGCTTGTTTTAGGTAAAGGTGTGGCTGGGGCACTTGCCACTTTAACTGGTTCGCTAACTTTTGTTAGGGCGTTTTTAATATCTAAAGCTGCAGCAGCTCGTACAGCTGCCAACTCTGTAGCTGTCATTTGTTTAACACTCAGACGACGTTTTTCATCGTAAATATGTATTTGAGTGCTGCTGCCACTAGCACTGTCTCCGCCGTTACTGTTAGGCGTCGACCCAAGGTCAGGACAACCCATAGCGATCAATTCGCTAAATTCGTTGGTGGACATTTTTTATATATTTTTTTTTTTTTTTTCAACTAATAAGACTTTATCTCTTGTTAATTTTTTTTTTGCTGGTAAATTGTTTAAAAGAATAAACTTATATTGGTATTAAATTTGTTTGTACGTTCAAGGTTTTTCTTTTTTTTTTAAATTTTTGATTTATATTTATTAATAAATTCAAAAATTTAAATATTGTAAGTTGTTGCCTGTTATTATTTTTATTATTTTATTTAACTTAGATGTGTTTTTAGTATTGTTTTCATTTATTAATATTTATTTTTAACTTATATTTATTTTTTTTTTTCTTTAAAAAATCTATTGATTATTCAATCACTTGGCAATTTGTTTCTTCTATATATTTGTTAATTTATTTATTTTCTTTAGTTTTCCTTGCAATGCGTTTGCTTTTCTTTACAGCTTTTGATAAACTAAAGGTGTTTCTTAATGAGTTTTCTAAAAAAATAATTTTTGTTAATTTTTTTTTTTTTCGCAAAAAAAAACAAAATTTATCTAAAAATTATCTACGCATGACAGACGTTTAAATTTTTTAAGATTTTTTTTTTTTGCATGTCAAGTAATTCAATGTCAATGTTTTTTAAAAATTTTTGCTGTTACTTTTTTTTAGCTTTGAACATTTTTTTTTCGATTTTTTTTTTTTCTTGGCAAAAGATCATCTCTCGATCGGTGTAGTTTTCGTTGTTGTCGTTAATGTTATTAATTTGTTATTTGTAAATACTAGATTTATATCTTTTGAAATACATATTTCTAAACGATTTGTTGAAATCTCGTTCGCTTTGCTAAACAGGGCGCCATTATTAATTAAAGTCTATACTAAAATTTTCTAGTGATAAGGTCAAAGAAATTAATAAGATTGCTGATCGATTGTTAAAGAAACGAGATTTTCTTTTAAAATGTTGCAGAAACAAATGTTGCGGAAACAAATGTTGCTAACTATGCAAAAGTGCTTACAAGGAAAAAATAGTACTTAAATTTTGTAAATAAACTAATTTATTTAGACAAGGTTGCAATAACTTCTAATTAATTTTAATCAGAAACTTCAAATAAAATAGTAACTGATACTAAAATGGAAGCCGGCAACATATTGCAAAACAATATTGATTATATAAAGATCTGAAATTTTTGTATTTTATACAAATTTCTGATCTAGTTTTCTTAAAAATATTTAACACAAAAACAATAAATCACTCTGGTTGCTGCTGTTGTTGTTGTCTGGCACATACTAAATTGCATTTAAATTTCCTTTAAAACAATGTTGCAAATTAAGTGGGCTAAAATCGAACCAAAACAATTTATTTAAATTGTTTTTAGTCTTTTTTTTTTTTAAACTTTTTTCTTAAGAAAAACAAATGCATTTACTTTCATATTAAATCAAATATACATATACAGCTGTTTTCTTTAAACAAGAAAAATACAGCTGGATTTTTTTGCCAACAAAAAAAAAAAAAAAAAAATCAATAATTTTATGAAGATCATAAACATTTTTCCTAAATATATATAAATGAAAACAGCACATAAAAATAAATAATAATAAATAGAAAAAAAAAAAAATAAACACACACGATAGGAAAAAATATTGTTTTGAACGTCACTCTTTGAAAAAAAAATGTTTCTTGTTTTTTCGTTTTTATCTTCTTGCAGTATGTATATTCAAATAAATGTTTGTTGAACAAATATACAATTATAAGTAGAGGAAAAAAGATCAACAGGCGGTGATAGATTTTGCGAAATTCAGTTTTATTTTTAAAAATTTCAAAATATGCGGTATTTTAATGCACATCTTTTTTTCTTTTCCTTTAAAAAAAGAAATAGGTTGTTCTAAAATTTTTGTTTGTTAAAATTTTAAATTTATTTTATTAGAGACACAGAAAATGTTGTATTTTTTTAATTGGAGCAAATATTTGGGATTTTTTTTATATAATGAGAAATTATTAAAATTATTATTTTATTCTATTGTTATGTTTAGCATTATTATTTTTTATTATTTCTATAATTTTTCTATTACTATCCGGGAAAATTTGTTTAGTTCCACAACTAGTTACAAGTAACAAAGAATTTCATCTGAAAATCAAATAATAGGTATTTAAAAAATATAAAAGAAATCCTTGTGATTTTTGTTAGAGTTCTATAGAATATTTGTTTAATGTAATTTTGAGAGAAATATGCCGGTATGTTAAAAGCGAAATTGATTATGGAATCGAGGAAGACTTTCATCTCAAAATGAACACTGAAAACAATACGATGTTCATATCTATGAAGAATTTCTAAAATTCGTAAAAAAAATTTGTCCAGTAAAATAATGCTTTTTGATATCGAAAAGTAACCACCAGACATTTCTGGTATTTTTTCTAACTTATAAACTTTTGATAAGTAGTCGATATAGTCTAGTCTATAGTCTAATCTTTAGCATAGTCTATAGTCTAATCTATCGTCTAGTCTTTATAGTCTAGTCTGTAGTATAGTCTATAGTCTAGCCTATAGTCTAGTCTATAGTCTAGTCTATAGTCTAGTCTATAGTCTAGTCTATAGTCTAGTCTATAGTCTAGTCTATAGTCTAGTCCATAGTCTAGTCTATAGTCTAGTCTATAGTCTAGTCTATAGTCTAGTCTATAGTCTAGTCTATAGTCTAGTCTATAGTCTAGTCTATAGTCTAGTCTATAGTCTAGTCTATAGTCTAGTCTATAGTATATAGTCTAGTCTTTATAGTCTAGTCTTTATAGTCTAGTCTGTAGTCTAGTCTATAGTCTAGTCTATAGTCTAGTCTATAGTCTAGTCTATAGTCTAGTCTATAGTCTAGTCTATAGTCTAGTCTATAGTCTAGTCTATAGTCTAGTCTATAGTCTAGTCTATAGTCTAGTCTATAGTCTAGTCTATAGTCTAGTCTATAGTCTAGTCTATAGTCTAGTCTATAGTCTAGTCTATAGTCTAGTCTATAGTCTAGTCTATAGTCTAGTCTATAGTCTAGTCTAGTCTATAGACTGGTCTACAGTCTGGTCTATAGTCTAGTCCATAGTCTAGTCTATAGTCTAGTCTATAGTCTAGTTTATAGTCTAGTCTATAGTCTAGTCTATAGTCTAGTCTATAGTCTAGACTATAGTCTAGTCTATAGTCTAGTCTATAGTCTAGTCTATAGTCTAGTCTATAGTCTAGCCTGTAGTCTAGTCTAGTCTATAGTCCAGTCTATAGTCTAGTCTATAGTCTAGTCTATAGTCTAG